GCTCCATGGAAGGAGCAGTCTATTTCCATAAAGATTTACCACCTCAGAAACCCAAAGGGGGTTGCCATGAGTCAGAATCAACTTGATAGCTGTGAGTTTGGGTTTTTATGGTATGCAAATAGGGTGCTTGTGGCCCACGAGAAGGATTGAACAGCTTGCTAATAATGCAAATAATGGAAGTAGTAGACCCTTGTGGGGGCGGGACCATTTAAATAAGGTGTATGCAACCCTAGCAAGGGGATTGGTCAATTTTGCCATCCCGCTGGGCTTAAAACAAGCCATCTCAGGGGTGGAAAGCGGAGAACCTTCCTACTACCAAGAAGAAGAGGTAGAAGCTGAGTGTGTTCTTTGGACCTGGGGATCCCTGCATTGAGAACCTCCTAGGACCCGGGAGACAGACAGAGATGTAACTCCAGACATGGTACAAGATGATGAGAAAGAGCAGCAGAGAAACGGTGGCAGGAGAACCAGTAGACCAGCACGAGACGGTGAGGGGGGCTTCCCAGCCACAGAGCAAGGTGGTTACGGTGGGCGTGTTGACTCGGGGAGCTGGAGAGCTGAGCACCTTCGGGCTGAGGCTTACTGGCAGAGTGGGGTGCCCTGGATACTCACTGGTGGAGCTAAAGACCTTTGGAACACTTGCATGAGTAGGGCAGAGGCCAGACCAAGGGCCTTAGGGGCAGAAAGAGGCCTGCCTGTGGACATGACTGGAAAGAGGCTGTCCTGATCAAAGATCTGTGTTCTGAGTCACTCCTCTCTTGAACTGTAAGCTGTTAACTTCCTTGATAAACCCCGTAGCTGTGAATATGGCCTGTAAATTCTCTGTGGCCACTGCAACAAATTACTGAACCCAGCAGAGAAGTAGAGAGTGCCATGGGAAGGACAGTGGTGTCAGAATTGATAAAAAGGCTGGAGAAGGGAGGTATGTCTGACCTCTGCCTCGCAGGAATCTGTCTTGGGCTAATGCTGACGGTCTCTGTCCTCTTCTCCTTGTGAAGTTAGAGGAGGTCAGCCACCCCTTCACATCATTTTTACATTGTCCTTTTGTGCATCTGACTGACTTCACTCAGCAGAATGTTTTCCAGGTTTATCCATGCTGGAGCATGTATCAGAACTTCATTTTTCTTTGTGACTGAACAGTATGCCATTGTATGGATCCAACACATTGTGTCTATCCAGTCCTCTGTTGAGGGACACTCGGGTTGTCTCCCTCTATTGGCTACTGTCAACAGTGCTGCAATGAACATTGGTGTACAGATATCTGACTGACTCCGGCTATCAAGCCTTTGGAGTGTATCCCCAGGGGTGGGATTCCTGGAGGTAGCATCTTAAAATGTTAAATACACTCTTGTTGTATGACCTAGCCATTCTGCTCTGAGATGTTCGCCCAGGAGAAATGAAGCCATGTGTCCGTGCTCAGACTCTGGTATGGATGCTCAGAGCACCTTTGTTGATGATAGCCCCAAACTGGGAAGAGCGCAAGGTCAGCAGGCCTTGGATAAACAGATCGTGGTCTGCCCATACAATGGGATACTAACCAGCAACCGAGGGAACGAACTACTGATGCACACCGCAAAACTTCCAGATACAAACATCCAGAAAAAATACGTATGTTTGATTCCATTTGTATAAAATTCTATAATCTGTAGTTACAGAGAACAAGTCAGTGGTCGTTTAGAGACAGGAAATGGGAGAGCAGGAGGGAGAGATTGGACTGGTCAGGTGGCACCTCTGAGGGTGATGGACTGCTTCCTAATCTTGTGATGACGGTTTCACAGGTGTATGCCTGTCAAAACTGACCAAATTATACATTTTAGATATGTGCTGTTAGTGTATGTCAGGCGTACCTCGATGAAGTGCTTATACAAAGATTAGGGACCCTTGTTTCTGGGGAGTACCAGAGCCTTCAGCATCTTCTCTGCATCTTACTCCACCCTGGACTTGTGTTTTCCTGGTAGGATGGGACCCATTGTCAGGTGCTCAAGGATCGTGGCATCTCATGGGTTTGCCCTCTTCCTCTGCTCTGCGGCTGGAAGGGTCCAGGGTTGCAGTGAAGCCCTGAAACTGCTCCCTCTCCACAGCCTTTCTCACAGCTTCCTGGGCGTCTAGGAAGCACCTTCCCAGGACTCCGTCTGCAGCTGCCTTCAGCTGGTTCACTGCAAATCCTCTGGCCATTTTCCTCCAATATGGAGAGGTGCTAAGAACCGCACGCAGCTCCAGGTCTCTAGGACGGATAGCCCAGCAGACGGATGTGTAGATCAGAGAGATGGATGACAGACAGCTGTCAGTGAGTTGACCCCCTCCTGGGGGCCTTCCGTGTAACAGAACGACATGCTGGCTGGTCCTAGCTGTTCAACTCCATCACTGTGGCTGATGTGCCCGTCCCTCTAACTGAGGGTCCCTTGTCCTTGCTGGCCCTCTGCCTCACCAAGCATGTGTCCTCCTCTGGAGATTCATCCCTCCTGAAGCCATGTCCGTAGCAAGCGAGTCTGACAGTATCTGTTGTGACCCAGGGGGTTTGCAGCAGCTAACGTTTGGAAATAGATTGCCAGCCCTTTCTCTCTGGTCTGTCTTAATCTGAAAGCTGCACTGACATCTGTCCACCACGGTCGGCCCTACTGGTATCTGAAATACCAGTGGCACAGCGTACAGTCACACACGCCACCACAGTATGACAGACGGACAAATGGGTAGTGGTTCTGGGGAGAGGTTCAGGGCAGGTATGTGCCGTCATCTTTCAGAGCCCCTACGGCCCCGCAGGCTCTAGGAATGCTTCAGCCTCTCTAGTCCCGCTGCTTGGCCCCCTCTGATAACCCAGTAAGATCACAAATAGAAATGATCTGACCTCTTCTGTCCCATTTTGTTGCTATAGTGATGGCTCATAGCCTCAGGACCATTCATGACCCAGTTAACTTGGCAGACGGCTAGGAAGACTGAAGATCTGACCTGGCAGCTGAGGGGCTGGGGAGAGGGCGCATTTCTTGAATGCTGGTCTGTGCCACGTTTTCCACTTTCATTTCCACAGAGGTCCTGAGTGGCTGTCACTGCCTACAGTACGGATCAGGACACTGGTTTGGAGACATTCCATGATTTGACAGCCTCACAGCCAGTCAGTGGCAAGGCCAGCATCTGGACTCCTGCTCCAAGGTCTAGTGACATAGCTAGTTAACACACAGGCCCGGGGCCAGTGAGTGACCAGGTGGCATTGAGTGGCACCCATGTTTCTCTACTCAAGATCCTTGGTTTCCCTGTTAAAGGCTGTTTAGTGATGATTGACTTGCTGGTAGGAGCTCTGGTGGCATAGTGCCTAAGGCATTTGAATGCTAATCAGAAGGCTGGTGGTTCATACTGACCAGCCACTCCTCAGAAGGAAGGTTGGCCAATCTACTTCCGCAGTGATACCACCTCGGAAACCCAAGGAGGGGTCGCTATTGGTCGGATCCTACTCAAGTCCAGTGAGTTTTTTATTTTTATTTTTTTTTGACTTGCTTATGGCACAAGAGTGGCACCCAGTGGCTCCAGCTGAGAACGACCAGATGGAGGGTGACAGGTCAGCTCATCCCACCCCAGCCGGTCCGTTTCCACTTGTAATCGGGCAGTGAAGCAGAGCGAACCTCCCGAGGAACAGAGTAAGCCCAGGTTTAACTGCTGGAGGGACCTCCACACTGTTTTCCAAAGTGGCTGCGCCATGTTAACGTTCTCTCCAGCAACGGATGGTGGCTCTGGTTTCCCCCCAATTCTCAAGAGCTTGTCACCATCACCATCTTCCTACATAGCCATGCTAGAGCACGAGGTAGCTGTCATTGTAGCTTCAACTTGCGTTCCTAATCACTAGTGACATTGGGCATCTTTTCATGTGTTTATAGCCATTGGTGTCATGTCTTAGAGAAATGTTGCCTTTTCTGTTGCCCGTTTTACAATTGAGTTATTTGTCTTATTATTTTTGCAAAGAGTTCTTTACATATTCTGGAGACAAGTCCCTTCTCAGATTTATAATTTGCACATTTCCTCCTATTTTGTGGGTTGACTTTTCACTTTTCACTTTCCACACTGTGTCCCCTGAAGCACACATCCTAAGCATCTCCGTGTGTGCTGTGCAGGGTCAATGTGAGTTGTGTCCCAAGCAGGCATTCTTGACAAGAGCAAGGAGCTGGGGGCATGGGCTCAGTTCTCAGTGAGCGCCTCTGTTCTCTGCCCAGATGGCAGTAAGGAGTGTGACAGGGCTTTGAAAGGCTGCAGAGGACCACATATGACCCGTGGCTTCTCAGGTTTGAGCTCCACCAGTGTTTCGTGGCACTTATGTGTGTAAGGAGCTGCACGAGCTCCAAAGAGAAAAAAGCAACAGTAGAGCTTTCCTGTCAAGGAATTCAAAGTGTAGAGAAGGACACATGTATCCAACTTGGTGGTGATGGACGGGGCTTCTGTACGCGGCTCAGAGCCTGAGGGGCCGCCAGACAGAGGCCTGGGGGTAGTTCAGAGAGGAAAGACAGGCTGGGCACGAGCGAGCTGCCGTGGACGCTCGGAGGTTGGGGCCGGGGGTTTGGTGTGAGCCAAGAGGAAGAGGGTGGGCTGGGGGAGAGACAGCCCGCGAGGCCGGGGAGCGCTCAGCTTCTGTGAGGCTCACTCAGTGCCTCTGATCTCGAAGGAGCTGCCTGCCCAGAACGATGGGGCCCAGAACGCAGAGGACACATGTGAGCGGAGCGGCCCGGAGCGCCTTCCAGGTGAGGGTTTGGCTCTTCACGTGCGTCCTGGACCAGCCTGGGAGCAGTTGTGAGGAAACGCAAGGCTGCAGGCTTCCCAGCTGCTGCCCCTCCTTCCACAGTGGTGGCTCCCACTGCCACTGGGGGCCTCCTCTGCCCAGGCTGGTCTGCCGGGACTAGAATTCTCTAATGGTTTGTGCAGTTACAGGCTGCACAGGATTTGGGGGGCGTGGGAGGCAGCCTCAGAGGCTGGGCCCTTACTGTCTTCCCTTGGTCATCAGGGTTGATGTGTGAGGAACCCTGGGGGTGCTGTGGTTGAGCGGCTTGCACCCTTCAGCCGCCCCATGGGAGGTAAGGCCTGGCCACCTGCCCCTGAAGAGTTAGGGCAGAGGCAGCAGGACCGCCCGAGACTCTCTACAGGGGCAGGTGGCCAGGCCTCACCTCCCACGGGGCGGCTGAAGGGTGCAAGCCGCTCAACCACTAGGAGCTCTGGTGGCGTAGTGCCTAAGGCACTTGACTGCTAACCAAAAGGTTGGTGGTTCAAACCCACCAGCCACTCCTGGAAGGAAGACTGGGCAATCTACTTCAGCAGTGATACTGCCTCGGAAACCCAAGGAGGGGTCACTATGAGTCAGGTCTGACTCAACGGCACATAACAAGTCACTCTGGGTCACAGAATCGACAGCACCTAATGATGGGTGACGGGCCTGCTGTCCCCATGTTGGGCTCCGGAGGCAGCTGCCGGGTGCAGACACTATGTCAACCCCGGTGTGGCAGGGGTTGGTATGTGGCAGGTGATGAGATGCTGTGTCAGCCCCAAGGTGGCAGGTGTGTGTGTGGACGCTGCCTCGGCCTCAGCGTGGCAGGGGGTGTGTGGTGTGATAGAGATGCTGCCGAGTCGTCTCTCCACCCACGGCCTCCCCCAGCACAGACACTTAGCCAGGCAAGGTGTGTACCGCTGGAAACAGCCACAGCACCATGCTTGAGCCTGCAAGGCCTGGTCAGCACTCAGGTCTCACTCGTCCTGCCAGGTGCCAGGCACTCTTTAGGGCCTTTTAAGTGTGTCTATGCTCTTAATTCACAAGCAGGTTTTTGAGGTGTGGGTATTATCATTCTCATTTTACAGATGAGGAAGCTGAGGCCCAGAGATGTTAATAAGTTTGAGCTCTGGTAGCATAGTGCCTAAGGAACTTGACTGCTAACCAGAAGGCTGGCAGTTCAAACCACCAGCCACTCCTTGGAAGGAAGATGGGGCAATCTACTTCCATAGTGATACTGCCTCGGAAACCCAAGGAGGGGTCGCTATGAGTCGGGTCCGACTCGACGGCACATAACAACAACAATATGGTCACACAGGCACTTGACTGCTAACCAGAAGGCTGGTGGTTCAAACCCACCAGCCACTCCTCGGAAGGAAGGCTAGGCAATCTCCTTTCATAGTGATACTGCCTCAGAAACCCAAGGAGCCGGGGTCACTGGGAGTCGGATCTGACTCGACAGCAATGAGTTTGGTTTTGGAAGGTCACACAGCTAGTAAATAAACGACAGAGCCAGAATCCAAACTCAGGCAGTCAGAGGCTGCCGACAGGTTGAGTCCTCTGACCCAAGCAGAGGCTGGGTCTGTGGGGGCATACGGACTGTGACTTCAGCTCTTGTGCTCTCCGGGGTCACCATCACAACAGGCCCCATGTTGTCGGTGCTTTGGCCCAAAATGTTTTCCTGAGCCTCTGCCAGCTGAGCCAGGTTTCAGATGTCTTGGGGGCAAAGAATCTGTTTTCATAAATTGAGATTTTGTTGTTGGGTGCCATCGAGTTGGTCCCAACTCATAATGACCCTGCACACAACAGAACCACATGCAGCGTGGTCCTGCACCATCCTCACAATCGTTACTGTGCTGAGTCTGTCTCTTGAAGGGTCTTTGCCTTTTTGCTGCTGTACCCAGCATGACATCCCTCTCCAGGCCTGGCCCCCCAGGGATAGGAGATGAAGTGTGGCCATTCTCGCTTCTAAAGAACATTGAACTGTACTTACTCCAAACCACTCTGTCTATTCTTCTAGTAGTCTGCGGCATCTTCACTACTCTCCACAACTCAAAAGCATCACTTCTTCAGTCTTCCTTATTCACTGTCCAGCTTTCACATGTATCTGAAGCTACTGAAAATACCATGGCTTGGGTCAGGCACACCTTAATGTTCAGAAAAGAGGTCTTGTGCATTGGATTTGCCCAGTGCATTGTTTGATTTCCTAACTACCACTTCCATGGACATGGATTGTGGATCCAAGTAAAATGAAATCTTTGACAGCTTCAATCTTTTTTCCATTTATCAAGATGTTGTGTATTGGTCCGGCTGTGAGGATTTTTTTTTAGATTTAAGGGTTTTTTAAAAAATAGTAGTTCCTCTGTCCCACATTCACTTTATAGTATCTGTGCAGTGAAGAGACGAGTCAGCCACAGGAGGGAAATCAGCATTGAACTGAGCACCCGCAGGCCTCCAGGTACAGGGCTCTTCTAGGCTCTTGGCATCTAGTCCTTAGCAGCCCTTGGGTGTGGGCAGCACCGCGGGCCAGGCTGAGGTCAGCTGTCAGAGCGCTGAGCAGCAGGGTTTGAGTTTTTGCTTGCTGCCGCCAAGGCCCATGTCTCCTACCACGTGTGGGAAACCTAGGTGTGGACACCCAGGTGTCTGGGAGCCCCAAGAGACTGCATGAGCTGCTCCACCCTAGACCTCAAACTTGTGTGAGTTGGTCCCACACTCCATGGGAATGGCACCATTGAGGAAAAGCACAGGCCAGCCACGGTCCACTCACCGACTGGCCTTCAGTTCAGCAGTCTCGCCCCTTCTCCCCCCGTGGCCATTCTTTTAAAATATCTTCCTAGCCTCTGCCTCCCGGCTCCACCTCCTAGTTTTCACTCACTGCTCTCTCCTTTCAGTAAACTGGACACCCCCTGCCCCCACTGCCAGACCCCCGTCATTCTGAAGCATCCACCCCAGGTTCAGGGGTGGCAGTGTCCCTCCTGCCTCCTCGGGGACCTGCTTGCATCAGTGTCACTTCTGCCCCTCCAACCTCTCTCCTGCGTTTTGTTCTTCAGCAGTTCACTCTTCTTTCTTCAAAAGGAAAATTTCCACTTTCTGTCAAGAGCAATGAAAAACTTAGGATACGGACAGTGGTGATGGTTGCACAACACGGTGAGCTTAATGTCACGGAATTGTACATGTAAAAATGGTTGAGACAGCAAACATTATGGGTTACGTGCACACACATATATGCATACAATGTATTATCGTTGGGTGCCATCGAGTTGCTTTCAACTACTAGTGACCCTGTGTCCAACAGGATGAAACATCGCCCGGTCCTGCGATATCTTCACAACCCATGTTGGGTCAGGCCATCTCTTTGGGGTCCTTCCTGTTTTTTGCTGACCTTCTACTTCACGAGTGACATCCTTCTCTAGAACTGGGCCCTCTTGAGAGCATGTCCTAAGTACGTGAGACAAAGTCTTGCCTCTTTGGTTCTAAGGAGCATCCTGAATGTACTTCTCCAAACACAGCTTTGTTCATTCTTTTGGCAGTTTGTGGTATATTCAGTACTTTGTGCCAACACATAATTCAAAGGCATCAACTCTTCAGTCTTTCTTATTCATTATCCATTCTTGGCACACATATGAGGCAACTGAAAATACCATGGCTTGGGTCAGGTGCACCTTAAGTCTTCAAAGTGACATCTTTGCTCCTTAACACTTCAACAAGGTCTTTTGCAGCAGATTTGCCCAATGGAATATGTCGTTTGATTTCTTGACGGCTGCTTCCATGGCTGTTGACTGTAGAACCAGGTAAAATGAAATCCTTTACAACTTAAATCTTTTCTCCGTTTATCATGATGTTGCTCACCAGCCCACTTGTGAGAATTTTTGTTTTATGTTGAGCTGTAATCCATACTGCAGGCTACAATCTTTTATCTATACGAGTAAGTGCTTCAGGTCTTCTTTTCAGCAAGCAAGGTTGTCAGCTGCTTATCAGTCTTCCTCTAACCCTGATGCTGCATACTTCTGCATAGAGTTCACCTCTTGGATTATTTACATAGCATACAGATTGAAAAAGTATGGTGAAAGGATACAATCCTGACACACCTTTCCTGATTTTAAACCACGAATTATTCTCTTGTTCTGTTCAAACAACTGTCTCTTGGTCTATGTACAGGTTCCTCATGAGCATGTGTTCTGGAATTCCCATACTTCACAGTGTTATCCACAGTTTGTTATGATCCACACAGCTGAGTGCCTTTGCATAGTCAATAAAACACATGTAAGTATCTTTCAGGTATTCTCTGCTTTCAGCCAAGAGCACTGACATCAGCAATGATATCCTTCATTCCACATCCTCTTCTGAATCCAGCTTGAATTTCTGGCAGTTCCCTGGTGATACACTGCTGTAACTGTTTTTTGAGTCATCTTCTGCAAAATCTTACTTGCGTGTGATATTAATGATGTTCGATAATTTCTGCATTCAGGTGGATCACTTTTCTTTAGAATGGGCACAAATGTGGATCTCTTCCAGTTGGTTGGCCAGGCAGCTGTCTTCCAGATTTCTTGGCATAAACTAATGAGGGCTTCCAGCGCTGCATCCATCTGTTGAAACAGCTCAGTCAGTATTCCGTCAGTTCCCAGAGCCTTGTTCCTCGGGACCGTCACCATTGCAACAGACCGACAATGTGCCTCCCCTGCCTTCCTCTTTCCTACAGATAGAAGCCCAAGTTTCTTAGCCTTTGAGTCCTACTGAGCCATCAGACTCATCTCCTAGGATCTGATATGGAATGCTGTCTAATGCCTTTGGTATTGGCATGACATTTTCAATCTGGAATAGCCTTCCTTCCCTGTCATTTCCTCATCCTTCAAAACGCAGCTCTGGCATCTCCTCATGGAAACCTTTCCTCAAACCACAGCTGGTTATGGTTTGTCTCCCCCCAGGCTCTTCCCACCACCTGCATTGCCCCCAGTATCCCAGGACCCGATCAGCAAGCATCGACACATGTGAACTAGACTTAAGTTTGGATAGGGAACAAGCCGACAGGAGCCGGCCCAGTGCTGTGTCAGAGGCAGGCCAGGCCAGCTTTCTGGTCTGGAATCCTGTTGGTAGTGAGGGCAGAGCTTGGCAGTTGAGGCTCCAGGAAGCATCTCTGCAGGTGAGGGAGTAGGGTGAGGCCCACTTGTGAGCCTGGCACAGCCCCTATGCCCCTTCCCAGACCCAGCTGGGAAACGGAGGACAGGGAGGCCGAGACCCGTCTGCATCCTCAGCTTGGTCCCTACGGTCCCGGAGCTGCTGGGCTTGATCTGGACCAGCCCTGATAAAAGGTCTTGAAGAAGGCGGTTTGAAGGCCGAGCTCCAGTTCCCCTACACCCTCTCTCCGGATTTCCACTGCCCCGGGCGTCTTCCCATGAGAGTAAGGTGGTCTTGCTTTTTCCTAGAGACCAGCGGACAGGCAGAGGGCAAGAGGCGCAAGAGGAGCGCGGAGGAGACGCTGGGCTTCCGCTCTCCCCCGGCCGTGAGCCCGCCAGGGGCCATCCCGCGACGCCTGGAGCCCACGGAGGCCTCCCTGGACCCCAAGGAATGGGAGGCCGGGCCGGACCGCGGCAGGGTCCCAGCTCCGGGCAGCGCGAGCCCCGAGAGTGGCCTGGAGGTACCGGCTGGGGCTGAGCGGGGCCGGGAGGTGCGGGCCCGGGC